TCGGAAAGTAAAGCAGAGGCAGAGGCAGAGGCAGATGCGAAGGCAGAGGCAGAGGCAGAGTCCAAGTCAACCGGTGCGCAAAAATCGGAAAGTAAAGCAGAAGCGGAGGCAGAAGCAGAGGCAGAGGGCGAGGCAGACACTAAGGATGAGGTTGAGAGTGAAATAGCTGATAAACATTTGGAAAAGACTTTGGCAGAGTCAGAGTCAGAGGCAGAGGGGGAAGCAGAGGCAGAAAGTGAGCCAGAGACAGGGGAAAAGGCAGAGGGGAAGGCAGAGACAGAAAACGAGCCGAAGGCAGAGGCAGATGGTGAGGCGGAGGCAGAACCAGAAGTAGCAACAGAGGCCGAAGGCAAGGCAGTGACAAGAGGTAAGGTAGAAGCGGATACCAAAGCGGGGGGAGCTACCCTACTCAATGGGAAAGGCGAGCGAGTTGTCGCGCCGCAAGGAACTCTGGAGGCAAACAGCTCGACACGTAACACGTCACGGGAGAGAAAACAAAAGCAGACAACGGGAGATGCAAGCGACAGACTGACAATGGGGAAGGCAGGTGCCGTTAGTGCCGAACCGGCTGCAGAAGGTAAAGCAAATACAGATATAACTCGATGATGGTTTATAGATAGTTGCGTCTGGTGTACAGCCGTAGCAGGCGTCGCGAATAGTAGAAGGCCGTACAAGGTAGTATATGCGCGGGGCAGCTCGGGAAAGTAGTATATGCGCGCGGGGCAGCTCGGGAAGGTAGTATATGCGCGCGGGGCAGCTCGGGAAAGTAGTATATCCGCGCGAGGCCGCGCGGGAAGGTAGTATATGCGCGCAGGGCAGCTCGGGAAGGTAGTATATGCGCGCGGGGCAGCTCGGGAAGGTAGTATATGCGCGCTGACGTCGCGTTCATATTGATCAGACGGTGGGTAAAGCATCGAGTCTGACAGGAGTCGGTGTTATATAAATGCGACTTGACGCGTATCAGAGCAGTGAAACAGAAAAAAAGTTACACGTCGATAGCTTTAATAAAGATCATTTCACTGGAAATCTTCGTCGAGACGTTTGAAAATTTAGCAAATAAAAATTCTCCCGATTTCAAGGAAAAAAAACTATAAGGATTTTGATTGGACATGGCGTGCGTTCACTTGTTTTTACCGGTGACGCATCGTCACCTGACTTTAAGAACCAATCCCTGCCTCGACCGGGCCACTCGTGATAAATAAATTTAAAGAAATCGAAAATGTTCGCCAGGCAAATGGCGAAGTAAAAATGTCTAGAAATAACAATGCCACATTAGAACAATCAAACAGTTGAGTCAACTCGACTCACAATTACGTGCAAGTAATTGCAGCTGCAGCCGTCCCACTTTAAAGACCGCAGTCAAATTTTATCTCACATGTATACGTGATTGTATGATCGCATCGAATCGGACAGTCATTAAAAGTAATTTTAATAATATCAGGAGTGAATAATAGAGATCTCTATTATTCACTCCTGATAATATCATAATAGCAGCTTGCCAACAATTGGAGCAGGATTCTCAAAGCGTGTAATAATTTGCTACGACTGCCAATATCGTTCAATAATATTACATATTGTATGGATTTCTAGTTTTAATTCCATAACCTACTCCGTACACGGCTGCATGCATGCTAATAAGGAGACAGAATTTCACCGGCACATGATGCTAAATATTACGTTGCTGTTGAACATTAATTGGTATACGCGTAGTGTTCAAAATCGATGAAGCCGCACAAACTCTAACTATAATTAAGAAATAACAACTGCAGCTAACCTGTATTCTGCCTACTTTCCAGTGCAGAATTGCCGCCCCAATACACACGTAAGATAATGCTCGTACCAACTACACGTGTGATTATCCTTCCTAATAAACAGGATTGCCCTTCACATGATATAGGATCATTCTCATCAGTCCAAATTAAGCAGCAAAGTCCTCCCTATTAAACACTAGTTCTCTCCATTAAACAAAAGCGTGTGGATAAATTACATTAACCATTATCCTAGGATAAATCACCACCGCATTATATCGTTTCTATCATATATTCGCAACGCACATCATCCCGCACCGTGCTTACGCGCGTTAACTCGCGGGAACGGGTGAAATGTTCGTCGTTTAGGTTGTACTAGTTTATTACGCTAGCCGTGGATTCGAAATCGCCTCGAAGATTATATTTTCAACGAGCCATAAACCCTCGAGAATGTCGACGAGCCAACGTCACCCACCGACGTGTATATAATCAACATCTAACCCCCCCCCCCGAATCTATATAGTCAAGGTTCAGTGCAAAAGATTGTAGAAAGACAGAACTCACACAAACACACGCACACACACAGGGGGCGGGGCACAATATAACAAATCGTGCCATTTTCTTGAGACGTATATATCTAAGCCATTCAGATGAAGCGATATCTTCCCAGCAGCCGAGCGGGAAACCGCGATAATATCCGCTATACATGATTGGCGACCATCGTTTATACTATTTGATTCCAAACAAGTGCCCGCGTCGACGGGTTACAGGAAATATTCAACGATGGTGGTTTGGATTGGCACAGCAAATTAAAATTTAAATGAATGGCGGCGCCGATCGGCCGAGCTCTGTGTGTATTGTAGTGGGATGGAACGTAATTGGTCATTAAACAGGTTTCCCTTTCGTTCCTTGGGGGATGTCGGTCACTCCGGAAGTATGAGGGCTCACTGTGGCAGTGGGAGTGCTGCGGACTCATGGGGTGCGAGCCACGCGCTATTAGCTCTCGTGGATTCCTCGCATGCGCGCCGTACGGTTTTTCTTTCACGACTAGCAGCCGAGATATACCCGTCCTTCGTCCCGATGTAGATAGTCCGGTGTGTGGTGTTTTGCGTTTTGTGTGTGTGTGTGTGTCGTGTGTGTGTGGTGTGTGTGTG